TGTATCTGGTTTCTGCATGTTAAATCCTGCTCTCTAGGACAGTGCAAAAGTCGTTTTGGAAACTCTAGGTTTCAAAATTTAGCTTGCCAACCTGCCTAATACCAATAGTCTTAGAGAGGTTGCTATCGAGATTATTTTCCAGGTAAACGGAATGCTTTCATTTTAGCCTTCAAAAAGGGTAAAAACATCTAATGATGCAAGTGTCAGAACCTAACTTGTATCTCTGGTATGAAAAATAAGTTGTCTGTATGGGCCAAGAGCATACATTAATTTCTGGTCAATACTCCCATACTGACTTGGGTCTCTAAACTCATCTAGTTGCCATCTCTTGGAGAGCAAAGACAGCACCGTCTGGTCATGCCTGTTCTCCTTAAAAGTGGGGAGATTCGGCTTGCCCATTTGGTTATCAATATTGGTCAGGATACGAGGATCGGAAGCATAGGCCAGCCATTCCATTACAAACTGCAGCGATTGGCAATTTTTCCGCAATATCACAAACGAAGCGAGGCGCTGGTAGGATTCGTAAACCCTCGCATCATCCATGTCCATAAGTACAAATGCATCTCGTTTGGTGTAAATGTCTTCTAAAAAGCGGGTGTGGAATACAACAATCCCTGGGTCTAATTCTTGGGACAGCTTTAGTAATGGTCCTGCATCTCCAATTAGGTGTGCACCCGCATCCTGATACATTAACAGGTCGTTATCCGACATACTTTCAACAAAAGTCTTCAAAATTATATAAGGTTTCCACAACCAATAACCGCAACCACGGTCCTGCCTTAAAATGGCCGAATGAGTGTATCTGAACTTTTTACTAAGAGAGTCTATACCGTGAACTATTGCAAAGTCAAAGCCGCCCGGATCTCGAGCCGATCTGGTAGCTTTCACTTTGGACTTTTCGCAGCAATTACATGCAAATGTAACAAAGTACTTTTTAGCTTTTATATCCTTGGATCTAGTCTCACCATAATCACTAAAATCCCTAGAGCTAAAATTGCTCTGAGGCTTGCTCCATCGCCTATATATTGGCCTGAGATAATCGAGATTGCCTCTTTTATGAAAAGTCCATCTTGTACTGTTAGTTTCAAACGGTAAAGGGACTTGCTCGCCGTTATAAAGCATATCCAAGGCTGTTTCATATAAATTGTTACATTTTGAAGTAGTTAATTCGTTCTCGTGTGAATATTTTGCCACGCTATGTAGATTTGGCTGTCGACAAATTCTATATTTCCAAACACACTAAATTTGTTATTCGAAGCGTCATCTGTTAACGCGTCCTCATTAAAACAATAATATAAAACAATAAACATAGTCATTGAAAAGGCAACTACAAAAGACCAATAGTATTTCGGCATAATACTTCTATACCTTGACCATGATATAGCCATACATTCCAATTTTTCGCTACCAAAAGCACTCCTTACAAGCTGTTCATAAACACATACGCAATATCGTTGAAAAAAAATTATGTCTATATATAAACCGAAAGCTGCAGGAAGCCACGATTCAAAATATTTGGACGCCATTGCGTCATGCCATCTTTCACGTTTGTTTACATTTCAAATTTTCAATGTCATTGTTACTATATGAAGTATCGCATGACAGCATCACAACTGATCATTTTCGTTTATCCGTGGGGACCTCAGGAGCGTACGTAGAAGGTAGGGTGGGGGGGGGGGGCTGGATGGGGGTTGGCGGTCATCACTCGGTAATTGTTTTCGGTGTTTTCGGATTAATTAGCCATTCCGAAGTTGATGAGTGGACTGGAGACGAGTGTTAAAAAGTGCCCAAATTAAGAAATGAACCAAATCACTAAAATGACCACCTCGAAATTAGTAAGTATACAAAGTTTGAAGACGTTTACATGGATACCCTTCGAATAATAAGCTTTTAAAAATCGTGATATTTACTATGAAATGTATTGTAATTTTTGTTTTTGGGACACGCGTCCCAAAAACAATCTTTTAATCAGTAATTTCACAATTTTCAAAAGCTTATTATTCGAAGGGTATTCATGTAAACGTCTTCAAACTTTGTATACTTGCTAGTGAGTCTTTTTAGTGACTTGGTTCATTTCTTATTTTGGGCACTTTTTAGTACTCGTCCCCAGTCCTCTCGTCAACTTCGGAATGGCTAATTGGGAAATTGTTTTCGTGGTGAGCCAACATTTTTGGGAAAAGAATATTAATTAGCGGTTGTAGTGACTCGACAAAACTTGCCTTGATCATGATAACTCGGCAAAATTCACTTAC